TCACCCCAAAAGGCCCCCCACCGCCACAAAGTGAGCCATTGATTTACCCCCACCGCCACAAAGTGAGCCATTGATTTACCCTATAGGGCCCTCCCTGCCACATAGTGAGCCATTGATTTACCCTATAGAGACCCCCTGCCACAAAGTGAGCCATTGATTTAACCTATAGAGACCCCCTGCCACATAGTGAGCCATTGATTTACCCTATAGGGACACCCTGCCAAATAGTGAGCCACAGAACGCCCCCCCTGCCACAAAGTGAGTCATTGATTTACCCTATAGGGACCCTCCTGCCACATTGTGAGCCATTGATTTACCCTATAGGGACCCTCCTGCCACATAGTGAGCCATTGATTTACCCTATAGGGACCCCCTGCCACAAAGTGAGCCATTTAACCACCCTATAAGGACCCCTCCTGCCACATAGTGAGCCACTCATTTAACTTATAGGGACACCCTGCCAAATAGTGAGCCACAGAACGCCCCCCGCCGCCACAAAGTGAGCCATTGATTTACCCTATAGGGACCCCCCTGCCACATTGTGAGCCATTCATTCAACCCATAGTGATCCCCTGCCACATTGTGAGCCATTGATTTACCCTATGGGGACCCTCCTGCCACATAGTGAGCCGTTGATTTACCCTATGGGGACCCCCCCGCCACATAGTGAGCCATTGATTTACCCTATGGGACCTTCCTGCCACATAGTGAGCTATTCATTCAACCCATAGGGATCCCCCTGCCAAATAGTGAGCGCAGCCCCCTCCTCATATTGAGCCGTAGAACGTCCTGCCACATAGTGAGCCATTGATTTACCCTATAGGGACCCTTCTGCCACATAGTGAGCTATTGGATCAGCCCATAGGGACCCCCCGCCACAAAGTGAGCCCCACACCCTGCCACATAGTGAGCCATTGATTTACCCTATAGGGACCCTTCTGCCACATAGTGAGCCATTTATTCATCCCACAGGCATCCCCCTGCCAAATACTGAGCCGAGCCCCCTCCCCATATTGAGCCGTAGAACCCCCTGCCACATAGTGAGCTAGTGGATCAGCCCCCCCCGCCACATAATGAGCCATTGATTTACCCTATAGGGACCCCCCGCCATATAGTGAGCCATTCATTCATCCCACAGGCATCCCCCTGCCAAATACTGAGCCGAGCCCCCTCCCCATATTGAGCCCCATATAGAACGCCCTGCCACATTGTGAGCCATTCAAAACCCCTATAGACTTTTCCCTGCCAAATTGTGAGCAACTACCCCTCTAGACCCTCTGCCACAAAGTGAGCCATTGAATTGCCCATAGGAACCCCCCCTGCCACATTGTGAGCCAATGGTTCAGCCCGTAGCGAACCCCCTGCCACAAAGTGGGCTGTACTGGTTTATACTGGTTTATACT